TAAACATTTATAAACTATATATATATATATATATATATATATATATATATATATATATATATATATATATTAAGATACATCGCGTGAAAGAACTATTATAATACATGTGCTTCGTATAAAATATAGTTTAGATGGATCATCTAACCAAAAATCTTGTTTGTTAACTTGGTACACAAAGCAACTACTCAATGATTATTTGAATTTTTTTCTTAGTGCTGCATTTCACACAGGTTTTCTAAACACCACATAATTCCAATAGGGGCTCTTTTGCGGCTGCGCGGTTTAGGCGCAGGGTGTATTGATGCGTTCTCTTTTGACGCATATTCTTTCACCCTCGAGATTTTGAAACAGTGCTCAATAAACATAGCACTACACTGCCGTGATGCGTTTTGACTGAGTTGTTTTGTTTCGTATGGTTTCGCCGTGGGTGTTTGCCCTGCTTTGCCGTCTTACAAACCTCAAGAATTCAAAGCACCATTCAGCGACTTTATCCTTTGTTTTGTTTTTTCCCCATGTCTCTGCAAACGCCTCTCCTTATTATAAAATATACTACTCTCAGTTCAAATGAGCTGCCGAAAACATTAATGTGTGCAAACGCCTAATTAAGTTGAATCCAACGCTTCCTCATTGGATACATGCGCAGCATGGGCAGCTGCAAAGGAATATATCCGTCGGCTCATGCAAATTTGATGTGTATTGACACATAACGGTTTTAGTATCAGATGAGTTGAACATCTATACCGTAGCGTTTTATGCCATTTAGTTCAAACGTCCCCAACAATGAGACAGTAATTAGCAAGAGCCGTCCACTCTTTTAGCCAATGTGACTGCTTGACCACTGGACCGCAGTAGCGCAGAGAATGTACGCTATAAGGGTTACCTGAACTCTAGAACACATACCAATCTTAACCAAATTTTACTCATACGACCTTATGAAACATGCAGAAACTCTTACCGTGGTCGCCACGGACTATGAAACCTACCTCGTGGTGTATCGCTGCGAGGACACGGCGGGCCGCTCGGCTGCACCCGGGCTCTGTCTCCCTCACGCGGTCCACGTGAGCGTCCTAGCGAGGCACCCTCTGGACGACAGTACGGCACCTGACATTCGAAAAGCGCTACATAGGATATGCGTTCCAGAGGACACCCTCGCCAACCTGGAGCTCAGTGAAGGAGGTAAGTCACTGTTGGCGGTTTTCACTCATGAGGAACTGAAGAAGTATCGTGGTTCACCTGTATGAAGGAAATAATTTTCTTCCTCAAGATGGCGACAGCCGTCACTCTCGCACCAGTCACCCAAACTGCTTGAGAACGGTATCTTACATTTATACTAAGGTTCATTGGTACCTGAACAACAAAAATACTCCGCAGGAAGCATCAGCGCCTGCTTTGGAGATATATAAGGCGCTTTATTTTGAGTTTATTCTTTTATTCTTGGGTACCACGCCGCTCCTCTTGATGAAAGTCGCTCTGTGTGTATATAGCTTTGGGCAAGACTTAGGCGAGGCGCTGCAGTTCCTGCCTCTCCACACACACATCTGAACTCCATCGAGCCGGCTATTCAATTCACGATCTAGCACGACTCAGACGGCTGTCTCCCATTCCTAGACGTCAGTGCAGTGAGAGGTTCCGGCCGCCTGGACTTCCATGTGTATAGGAAACCGACACACACGGGCCGATACATGAACTTTTCATCGAACCACCCTAGGACAGATAAGTTTTCCGTGGCTTCGGCACTCATCAGACGTGCCTGCGATCACGGTCTGCTCATCAGAGGAGACCTTCCGAAAAGAGATCGACACAATACAATGAGTCCTCCGGAAGAGTGGCTACGCAGCTAGATTCGTAAGCAACATAATCAAGGAACTTCGATGCACCCCTTCAATCCAAGGCACCGCCCCTCCCTCCATCCGCGTGTGTGTACCCTTCATCAAAGGCACAAGCGAGGTTCTCCCCCAGTACTACGACGGTACGGCAGAGCGGTCTCACACAAGCCAGTCTCGACTATCGGCGGCCTTCTCCCTCTACGGAAGGATCGCCTTCCGAGGGAGAGGGCACAGGGACTGGCTTACAAATTGCCCTGCGGTAACTGCACCGCGTCGTAATTTGGGGAAACAAGGAACTATCCAGAGCGCCCGCGCTGCCACCGCTAGGACATCCTGAAGTAAAATGTGGAGGGAAGCGCGTTGGCTGAACAAGTCAAGAAGACAAACACTCCATCGACCTCGACAACAGCGCCATCCTCGGAATGGAGATAAACTGGCGGAAGCGACTCCTGTTAGAGTCGTGGCATATTCAGTGCACACGTGGCAATGTAAACCGATCGAAGGGGACCCTTCCCAGCAGCAACGTTTCAGGGGTAAGAGGGATAATCTGGAGAGCACCCGGGGGTGTTCGGGTTTGTGGGCAGGCCGTTCGGGGGGACAGAAATAGTCGCCCACGATCAAGGGCCGGAGCTGGCCCCGAAACGTCGGGGTCTTTGCTTTTATTAAAGCGTAGCTATAGCTCCAGATACTTGTGTTATAACGCAATAGACAAAGCAATGTGATTTTGTGCAGACTGCCTGTAACAAAACAAAATGTGTGAGTGCCTTGAGTGGATAGTTTTTTCTTCAGGTTAAGCCAACGTGACTTATCGTTCAAAGGTAGCCCCGCTGGCTGCACTTGGAGAGCGCCTTCACTTCTCCAGCAAACTTTAATACATCCTTCTTGCGGGAGACAATCCGAAAACAATAATGAAAACCTGCAAGAGTAAAACGTCATACTTTGAGTAACGTCAACTGGTCATCAAGTTGATGTACACGTTCTCACCTAAACAAAATTAAGTTCTGCGCCCTCTTCATACGCCGCGTACAGTATCTCTTACGAGATTTGGTTGTCGGAGGAAGAGTAGTTGCTTTTGGCGTTTGAATCGTGTACCCTTTGATAGAAAACAAATATATTATCTGAAATGCACCCACTTATATCTTAATTATGTACATAAAGGAGTAATTTGGTCATGTTTCGCGAGCACCCGGACTTTTTTTATTTTTTACGATGGTTCTTGAGGTGAAACAAATATAGGTGTAGATTGTATGCCGCTCCTCCGTGCGGTCGAGTGGACGGAGTGGTTTCGTCCGTAAACGGCATGTCACACGGCACATAAACGGCGAGCAACTCGAATAGAAGAAGTATGTTTGACTCCTGCGTTGTATGCAAGTTTACAGGACAGGAAGCTGTCAGGCATTCCGCCTCCCGTTAGTTGAAATGCACGGCGTCCTCTTAAGAAACTTTTGACACAACCTTCCCTGTGTATGGCCAGTCGAGCAAAGTCATAATCAGTAGTCGGGAAAGTTTTCTGTATAAGCGTGGTTCGGCCAGGCCGACCATCCGATGTTTATGTCAAGTTTGGTTGAGTTTGCTCCCAAAACTGCGTTGACTGAATTAACTCTCGCGCCTGAAATCACAGTCAGCTTTGTGCTAACACTGAAGAGACAACCACAACTCCACTTTCAATCGCGCACATGCCGTGCGTAGTGAGAATCGTGTGCCTGAACAAATCACCGACGAATTGTAATTGAATTACAATTACAACTACCTACCGCCAGACAGACAGATTATAAATAGGATTATTATTACGGGAAAAATAATAATCGCAATTACACGCTAATTTTATGAGGGAATTTCATTCATTTCTTATCAATTCTGTTTAGAAAATTGAGTGCTGTAGATTTTTCCTAAAACGATTTATTTTGTTCTTTCTTTTTTACGCGGTTTCACGATTTCATAAGGTGTATATTACCTTATCATAGTTAAACTTTCTGTCTTTGTTTTGGTGAGAAGCTCTCAGGCGCTCGTTCCCGTGTTTTGCAGCCTCGGTGTCGGCGTCGCCGTCAGCGTAACTGGAGAAGGAGGGGAGGAGGGGAGAGGGGGAGGAAGAGGGCGAGGAGGAGAATATGGGAAAAGTTGTTTCTGTTTTTGACCAAGGGCATCAAGTTTATTTCTTTTGTTAATAAAAGCGATCAGGTGCTCATATTCGCTACTACAGGCTGACACGACACTATTTGTACCGTGTCAGCCTAATATTTTCTACTATTGCTATTTCACTGAACACCACCTTTTTACTCTAACATTTCTCATAAACATCTTATATTTTATTGCAGGAGGGTGCGAGATAGATCAAGAAAGTGATCCAAACACAAATGAGCCGACACCTCCCGCGGGTAAGTTAAACTTAAATATTTAATTTTTATTTGTTTAGAGGCTAGGACAGTTAAGTAAAATAATTCTTCAGTCACTACTCTACTAGCCATCGTGACACGTTCTAAAAGAAATATAACTTTAATGTCACCAATTCAATTACAAATTTCAACCTGAATTTTTATTATCTTCCTTAACCATATAACGTGGTCTTCTAGTTAGTATACAGTCGACCAGTTTGAAAATCGGCACACACCCTCTTGCTGCTCGCCTGAGGGAGCCTGAGAATCTTGAGAACTGTGTCTCTTCTTCGCACAAAGAGGATAGATATCAACGGACGCCAAAAGAACTGTTGATGAAGCGTACCATACGAGCACACCCTAGAGAAGTCAAAGACTGTGAAAAGTCCCTTTTCCGTTCCCGTAATGCCATAGCGCTCGGGTGGCTTTGGCGCCAAGTCCAACGCCGAGCTGCTTTGACAGATTCACTGAGCATTAGGCCCGCCAAATTTTACGCAGCACTGGTGTTGTGTGTCTGCGCCTGACCTCGCCGGCACAATGGCGGACTGCTTTCCACAGGCTATTCTAGGTTGTGTCGCCCTTAAACCTTCGCCACTCTTTTTACTTGAACTAGTGAAAGAGTAAGACATCGATAAACATTGGTCAGATATTGGATGCCCGGCAAAAGCGTGCGAGAAAAAACTAGGCGTCTGTAGCAGACGACTAGAAATTAGCGCCCCCTATTGGCTGGAGCTAGTCACGTGAAGACCGACTTTCTTCGCGCTTTCCCAGCGATCGTGAATGCGTTAATGTGCGGACACAGTACACCGCTACCGGGACTATCGTGTTTGCTGCCCATAATGTCGTCTACTCGGCCGTGGCTGTTCAGGGCACTTTTTAGTTAAAAACGAAACTTCCGAGTTCGTGTGCAGCTTACAACGCAAAAATAGAGTGTCTAGTTAATAATGTTTTGTGATGTTAAGAGCGGTTCTGATGGGATACATACACTGTCCCCCGAGCAAGCCAAATGTTCTTCTTTTTCCTATCCTTGCACTTTTGTGCGAACTTAGCTGGAAACACGTGGGCCTGACACGCTGTCATTTCAAAAAACATCCATTTACTAATTTACAGGTTGGTAACGCAATGACCTCAATTTTTTAAACTCTCCCTTAAAATAGCATTACTATTACTTGTATCTGTTTAAACCGTACTTTGTGCGGCTTAATTTACTTTCGTGCGCTTTGTTTGTTTGCTTGTTTGTTTTGGAAAGGGGAGGGGTTAGTGGATCACGCTTTACCTTAATCTTTCTTGGAAGTGAACGCCACTTGCATCGATTGAATCATTTTTATTTTTTTTTTATTTTTTTTATCCAGGGTAAGCATACTTGGCAATCAATGAAGCAGGGGCAAAATTACCATCGTTTTTAAAAATATTTGTTTGGCGAAAAACAAGCACGCCTATTTAATCAAACACGACCTGCCTAACTAAGTCACGCATTTAAGCAGCGAAGATTAAGATGTTTTGCTGCTCCTACCTACGTCATGCTCCCAGCAGTGATCACTGAATGTAGTATTGTACGTAGCAGTTGCCGGCAGTAGGCTTTCTTTATACCACAAGAAAATTTAATATTTCGGACTTACTAGGTAAAGAGAACATATTAAATTCATTCTCGCTTTCTCTCGTGTACTGTGTTTACTTGAGTAAGAGACACACTCCTTGCGAACAAAGCCTCTGACTCCTTTTTCCCGTGGTGTACGAGGACAGCCAAATATTGCGATCGATCCGAGAACCCCTGCGGCTTGAGGGAGAGAGATAACCTCCTCCATAGCCCCTTATTAACTGACAAAACCTTGCAGATCGCCACGAGAAGCAGCCACCGAAATAAAAAAAAAGGTAGAGCGGCAGACAACGGATCAAAGGAGAGCCCCGTGACTTGCGCCGTGCTGCGGCGAGTCGCCGAAACACATTTGTCCCGAGCGAACAAGTGTGTTTCGGGTCC